CGCCCGCCCTCCTCCGGCGGGTCACACGACGGCCTCGATCTCCGGCGCGTCCTCCTCGTCCTCCAGCATGCGGTAGGAGGCGTGGGTCTGGAAGGGCCGCTGGAGCGGGTGGGCCAGCAGTTTGGCCATGCAGTTGTGAAGCTCCACGGCCGGGCCGCTCAGGGAGACCTCGTACTTGTAGTCGGTGCCCTTGGCGTCCAGGTTGCTGAAGAAGGCAAAGGTCTCCTGGAGGGAGAAGAGGGCAACGGGCAGGTTCGCGTCTGTTCCCGCCTGGGCTCTGGCCACAACCCGGATGCCAGTCCAGAAAAGGTTTCCAGAACTGGAAGCTTGGATCACGCGGCTCCACAAGGTACACCCGCGTTGAAGCACAGATTACCTTGCTTTTTTCGCCAAGCCTTGCAGGGAACTGAGAGCCAGTCTGGTGCCGTGGTGAAGGCTCCGGGCTAGAAACCAGCAGACTGCGAGTTCTAGTCCTGCGTTAGGCACGAAGCCGGCTGGGCGACCCTGGGCCAGTCCCTCTCTCCCAGGCAACGGCAAACCACCTCTGAAAAAACCTTGCCAAGAAACCTGCAGGGACCTGTCCAGGCAGTCGCCAGGAGTCAACACTGACTCAAAGGTGCGCCCGCACACGCGCACACAGTCTCTCTCTCTCTCACAGGGAACTAATGCTAGGAAGTTTCTTTATGGAATGGATGAAAACTAGTTTCACGTCAGGGGATAGGATTAGATTGCAATCTTGCTTTGCGTTGCGTTCTTTATGGACCTCTAAGTGACAAATAGAATATTCCTACTGAATAAACAGGATGAAAAGTTTCAGTAGTATTACAATTCTAAAGGGAAAACCCAACCATTTTGGTCTGAAGGGGACAGGCTTCAGACTTTTTTCACCATGTTTTTACCATTTCGTTCATCTCACTTTGCTCTCTGTTGTGAAGTTCCATCTATTTTCATGCACTTTTCCACCTGCTTCTATACGCAAAGACTATTATTCACAAAGAAAGCTTCAGTTTTGATTCCGTTTCCTTCCAATATAAATGGATTGACTGAGTGGCCGCCTGGCTCACCTAAGTGACTCTGGGTGGATCACAACAGGAGCACTCTCAGTATAATGTCATTCCTGTAGAAAATGTCAGGGGAGACTCTGTATGGTCTCTGTACCGGAGACGTGTTTACGATTTATTTATTTATTTATCTGATTTATGTAGCTGCCCCTTACACGAGTGGTATCTGAGCAGTTTACAAGGATTAAAAACACACACACACACCACCACAGCAGAGCTCATCTACCCTTCGGCCCAAACGCCTGGGGGAACAGCCAGGTCTTTGGTGCTGTACGAAAGGCTAACAGGGCTGGGCCGTCTGAATCTCAGGGGGGCAGGGAGGCTCTTCCACAGGGCAGATGCTGCCGCTGAGGAGACACAACTCCAAGATCCAGCAAGATGCCACTGACAGAAGGGGCGTCAGAAACAATGGGAGACAGGCAGCCCCACAAGTAGCCTGGCCCTAGAACCAGGGAGGGCTCTAGAGGGGGGTGAGCAGCACCTTGAAGGGCACCGGCAAGCCGTGCAGCCTGTGGAGCGGTGGGCTTGTGTGAGCGTAGCAAACGATGCACACCATCTGAGGAGAAACTGCCCGCACTGCCGCATTCTGAGCCAGCTGCAGCTTCCAAGTGCTCTTCAAGGCCAGCCCCATGGAGAGCGTGTTGCAGTAATCCAAGCAGGAGGTGGCTAAGGCGTGAGTTGCTGTGAGCAAGGCCTCCCGGTCTGGGACCGGGCGCAATTGAGGCACCGGGCCAACCTCTGGCCATGGCTGCCACCTGCTCTTCCAGCAGGAGCTGAGAGTCCAGGAGGGCCCCCAAATTGTGCTCCAAGTCTGCCTGGGGCAGTGCCCCCCACAGAATTAAAGATAAAAGACCCCCAGAATGGGGGGTCTTCAAAGCCACAGGGTTGAGCCTGGCAATTCTCACGGATGGGATTGAGCAAAACCGGAGGATGAAACTGGATTGCTCTCTGGATATACCCACACGCAGAGAGAATTGGCGGGGGGGAGGGGGCTCAGAAAAAAGGAACCGCAAGTCTCCTTGGAAAGCCCGTTTAGCCGTGCTTGTTCCATAATTCAGGTGCCTCAATTAGTGCGAATCTCACTGAGTAATTCAAGCCCCAGAATCCATCTCGCCAACTTTCCCAGGGGAACGCTCTGGGTGGGAGAGTTCCCCACCTGGCAGCCATTCCTCTGGGCTTTATCCAGGTAGCCTCTTCCTCAAGTTCTTTCTGACTCCTTGTTCTGGCCGCAGAGCTGGGTGGGAGACAGGAAGCCACCTTTTCCTCTAAACCCCGCAACCTGCATCCCTCTTCCCAAACAACTAATATCTGAATGGATTCGTTGGTGAATGAAGCGTGAATCTAGTTGTGCTGATGTTTAGGGTTCTTACTGATGGTTAACTTGATTATTATTGACTGTCTAAAGCAGTGTTTCTCATCCTCGGCAACTTTAAGATGTGTGGCCTTCAACTCCCAGAATTCTGGCTGGGAGTTGAAGTCCACACATCTTAAAGTGGCCGAGGCTGAGAAAACACTGGTCTAAAGTGTCACTTGGGTGAGAAGAGATAATTAAAAGAAAATAAATGAGAACATTTACCTTCCAGGTGATCTCCTCCTCTTTGTCCTCAATGCCGTTGTGGATGTAAAGCACGTCAAAGAAGAAATAAGGGCAGTGGAGCATCTTCTGTTGCATGGAAGATGACAGCAGGACGCTCAGGAGGGGAGAGCCGCAGAAGGCCCCCCAACGGCTCCCCTGCCTCTCCTGCCCTCTCCCCATCCCCAGTCAGCATCCGGGCTTTCTCCTTTGTTTTTCTCTCTCTTTTTTGCTTTAGAGGGTTTAATATTTTGCTTTTTCAATGAAATGAAATGGCATTTACTGTACTATCATTACCTGTATCGGCTGAAGGGGCCAGTATCTAGCCTCCAGGTCACCTTCCAGCAAAGAGCCATTTTGTGACCCACCACGAGGATCATTTGGATGAACCTGCAACTCTCCCTGGCAGCCATTTTGTGAGTGTGCCCATGACACGGCCTCCCCATTCCCAAGCGTGATCCTGGACCCAAAAGGCTGCTACCTCCATTGCGTGGGAATGCAGGTTCCAGAGAACCGCTCCCGTCTTCTAAGCAACGGGCCACTGCACAGCACAACCGTCCTGCTCTGCCTGCTCTGGTGTTTGCTGAGATCTGGAGAGCTGCTCCACGTGAGGCTCAGGGACCCACTAAAAACCGCATTTCCCCCCAGAGGACTTGGGAAACTTGCGAGGCCAAGAGAGTGGGCACCTTCATCTGGTCCGTCACCACCACCGGTGGCTGGCAAGCAGGACGACTGTACACCAGGATGGTCCTCACCACGTAGGGCGGTGGGATGGTCTGGACGTTCTCCGTCACCGGAAGCTCCGTCTTCTGCTGTCTGTGGAGAGAACAAGCCGAGGCGGTGGGCAAAGGTCTGGGGGATGCCAACCCCAACACACCCAGCCAGCACAGTCTGAAGACCAGATGCACTGAAGCAGAGGAGAGGGCAGTTTTCTCCGTGAGGAAAAACAATGACAGGCCTGGGTCTAAATCCATGGCCTGCCCTGCTTAAAAAGAGAAAGAACTGAGGAAAGGGAAGACGCCACTGCAGGGACATTCTGGACTAGAGGACACCTTGGAGGGACTTTGGAGCCACCAATTCCCCCACAGAAGCCTGTCCAGCCTCCTGACACATCTGGGAGCCCACCCCCTGGATCCCTAGGCTGCCCCCCAAGCACTCTTGGGGTTAGGAAGCATTTCTTAGCATTCAGCTGTGCCCTTCCTGTGGATGACTCCAGGGGTCCTGCACTCTGCAAGGAGAGAGATCAGGGCTGGACCTTCTCCTGAGGGACTGACAGCTGAAGACAGGCTTTCCAGGCCCCCAACAGCCTTCTCTTCCTGAGGCTAAAGATCCCCACTTCCTGCAGCCTCTCTGTGGGAGACCCCTCTAGTCCCTGGCCCTCCTCTCTGCCCTTCTTGGACTCCCTTCCAGCCTGTCTGGACCCCTCTCCAAACATGCTGCCCAGAACTGGAGCCAAGACCAAGGAGGGACTGACTGGTGCAGCATAATGTGGAACCAGGACTTCCCCGATTCATTTTCTTTCTTGATTTGAGCTGCTCTTGTTAGGAATGCCTCCCTTTGGGTTTCCACCTGGAGCTGGAGCTTCAACTTGATGGGCTCCAACGGACCCTCCCGATCCGAAGACCCCACCCAGCACTCCTGCCCATCCCAGGCTGGCCAAGAATCAGGGAAGGGAAAACCACCCAAGGCCGAGCCAGGTGCTGAAGGGGAGGTTCGACTCACATGAGACTGAAAAGGCCTTCCAGGTCTGAGGGGGAAAAGTTGAGGTCAACGCGTTGGTTTCTCCCGTGAGCATCTGAGCCTCATCTTCTCCACCCACCACACTCCGCAGTGCTTCTGCCAGGATTTCCAGCCAGAACCACCACCAGCAACGGTGGCTGGGAATTACAATCCCAGCAATTAGAGGAGGCAAGTTGGGGTGGCTGTTTGAAACCCCTCCACCCAATTTCTTAACCCTTGAGGGTGGCCTTCCTGAAGCTTTGCCCTTCAGAGAACTAGGAACCCTGTTCCCTTTCTGACTGGGAAGATGGCTCTGAAACGAGGAGCGATGGGAAGGGAGCTTTTCCCAATTCTGGAAGAATGTCACCGGCCAATGTCACCGGCTGCCCCAGGGCCAGATCTGAATCCTGCCAGGGGCTGAGGGTGGTCCTGTCCTGCCCTTGCCAAGTCCCATGGCTGAGAACTCTCCTGCCAGACAAGTAGCAGAAACCCTGGGACAGCCGGGTCAGACCCACAGACCGGCAGCCGTCACGTTAAAATAGGGCATGTTTCTTCCTCCGAGTCAGATCAGAACATTTATTTAATTTGGGGTGATAACGTGATCTATCAAAACTCCCCTCCCCCGCTTCCTTATCCTGCCACCGAGGTTCCCCTTTCGGAAAGGATACTGAAGGATTTGCAGACCACTGTCTCCAAGTCATACAAACAGCTGCACACTTCTCTGGGCTCGGAAGTGAAGCCGGAAAGCTGCAGAGAGAGGAAGCAGAGACCACGTGAGCTTGGATCCCGTTGGATCAACAGGAATTATTTGAAAACCGAAAGCAGGAGCGATCCCACCGCCACACACGCGAGCCGTTTGCGGAACGTCCTTCATCCGGCCTCTGCCCCGGCTTGGCCTCTCCCCAAGGACGCGGTCAGGATAAAATGGGCTATCCCTATTCATGAACTTAGTGGAGGAAGGGCGGGGCGTGAAGGTGAGCTGCCAGCACCAGCAGAAAGTTCACTCCCCTGCCGTGTAAAATCCCCAGCCACTTTACAGCGCGGTCGCCTAGAGAAGCCAGCAAAACTCCACATCAGCCGGGTGCAGAAAACAAGCGAGGCTGAAGCCAAGCCCGTGGCATCTGGGCTTAAGGCAGCGTGTGAAGCCAGCTGCGGTCTCACGGCCCAGGCCCAAGGTGAAGCAGCCTGGGAAGTCCGGGCAGATGGCTGTGCAGCTCCATTCTGAACAGGCTGTGGCAGACTGTCTGGGCGCAAGCTGGGGGGCGAACAAAGGGGGACCCCCAGAGTGTCGGGAGGCCTCCAAGCAAAGGCCAGGCGTACCCAAGTGACGTCGTTGTTCGCCACCACCAGCGCAAACTCGTGGCTCTTGTCAATCTTGTGTTTCGTGCGGACAAACATCTCAATCATCTTCTGGGAGATGTTCAGTGCGTTGGTTTCCAGCCTTCCAGAGACAGAAAGGGAGGAGGCGGCGGCAGGTGAGCCAGGAAGGAAATTGGGGTCGAATCCCTGAAAGTGCTGCCAGAGCTGCCTGGGGCATTCCTCCCCTCTGAACCACCACCAGCAGCTGCTGGTCCGGAAGGGACAAGGCCTGGCTCGGGAGGAGGCCTCTAAGTTCCCCTGAAATCAGCCAAGAGGACTAGAATCTTATTCCCACTTCAGTTTGCAGGCCTCTGCAGCATCTCCAGGAGAGGCCGGGACACCCCCTTCCGCCTGAAGGGGGGAGAGCCGCACCCGGAAGCAAAAGACAATCCAGGTCTACCTTTACTGATCTGAAGGTCTGTTCTCCATAATCTGCCTGCTGCCCTTCAAAGCCAGTTACAGGGCAGCCGGGTGCCCCGAGGGAAGGAGGACCTGCCGGGCTCCGGGAAGCCAGCCAGGGCGCCTTCAGCCCCCAGAGAAGGGCCTCTCCAGCCGAGGGAAGGGCCAGACTCACCCGTTGAAGGACTCTAGCCTCAGATGGGACATTTCCTCCGAGAGATCCAAGCAGATGATCTGGGACAGAGAAGGAAGGACGTTAAAGATGGATGTGCTCTCTCGCTGTCTCTCTCTCCATCGATATATTCACAGCATTCAAATGTTCTTTTTTTCTCCATCTGCCTTGTTTTATTCATTTTCGTTCAGACAGGGTTAGATGGTGTGCACGTGATGGGGAGATGGGATCATTCATACGTACCTTCCCATCTTGCTATTCCCCGGGGGGGGCGGTAAGTAATATTACGCCAAGCACAGAAAGAGAGCACGAAATAGCCGGCGAAAAGAATTCAGGCAAGCGCTCTCTAGTCTGCCCCAACGCCATCCCTGGACCCTCTCCTTGCAAGCTGCCCTCGCTTCCCCCACACCTGCGTATCACCTTGTACGCGGCCTTCTATTCTTTGTTCCTTTCAGGATCGCATCGGCTCCGTCCAGCCGGGCCCTCGCAGTCTCCCCTTCCTCTCGCCCCACGCGCTCTTCCTCCACATGCCTGACTTGCAACGTGACCCTCGCTTACGGCCAACTCATTCCTTTCGTGCCGGCTGTATGTCTCTATTCAGTCCATGTTCCTTGAGCACCCATCCGCCTGTGCCCCACACGCTTCCTGTTTTATCACACCCATTTCTCGAGCAACCTCTTCCCACCGCACTCAGCCTCTTTTTATGCTTCTCCTCACACACCCAACTCCAGTTCCTCGGAACAAAGGGGGCAAAATGCACACCCGCAGGGCCATTTTGTGTGTCTCCTGCCATTCACTGCCGGCAAGAGAGCATGTGCTATTCGCCCCCTCTCTGCAAGCATTTGCGCATCTTAATAGGTAACCCAATTGATGGCTGGTGTGGGTCTTCCGGGCTGTGTGTCCGTGTTCTTGAAGTTTTGTTTCCTAACGTTTCACCAGCACCTGTGGCCGGCATCTTCAGAGTGCGGGAGCACAGGCAGGAGCAGTTCTCTCT